CTTCCATCCTCTGGTTCACTCTCCAGTTGGCTGCCAACGGCTGAAGCTGTGCCGATCTGAAGCCAGGAGCTTCCTCCAGGTCTCCCACGTGGGTGCAGGGGCCCAAAGACGGGCCATCTTCTACTGCTTTACCAGGCCATAGCAGAGCTGGATAGGAAGTGGAGCAGCTGGACTTGAACTGGCGCCCATATGGGATGCCAGCACTACAGGTAGTGTCTCTACCCGCTACATTGCAGTGCTGGCCCCCAGAATTCTTAACATGGTTTCCTCCCTCACTTCATTCTAGTTTCTGATCAAAGGTCACCTCTAGAGATATGCAACCTCAAGTCACTCCTTTTCCCTTTCCTGGCTTTCTGCATTAACATTTCTCCTCCTTTATTTAAACACATATTTTATTTGTTGTCTCCCCTAGTAATAATGTAAGCTCCTTGAGAGCAAAATCTCTCTTCATGCTGTCCACATCACTTACCAGAGCATGGAACATTGCAGTCACTCATTTGAGTAAACCACAGTGAGGGAGATCTGAAATGGAAAGAAAGTTCAAAGATGGCATTTCTCTTTTCAAAAAATAAAGACAAGGGCTGGCGCTGTGGCATGGTAGGCTAATCCTCTGCCTGTCCCAAGTGCTTGGGCTCCCGTATCCATGTGGGAGATCCAGAAAAAGCTCCAGGTTCTTGGCTTCAGATTGGCCCAACTCCGGCCATTGTGGCCATTTGGGGAGTGAATAAGCAGATGGAAAACATTTCTGTCTGTCCATACTCTACCTCTCAAAATCTTAAAAAAAAAAAAAAAAAAATTAAAGGTAAAATACTATAGCACTATGCATGCTGATTAGTGTAATGTTGTGGAAAATAATTTGTCAATACAGGCATGAAGGAATAATGCAGAGCAGGGTATATAGATGAAACACAGGCCTATCAGTAGAGTGTGAGAAATGGAAATGTTGAAATAGGAATCCTACTTGGAATTCTTCCCTAGAGAGCTGTGGTTGTGTTCTAAGAAGTCAACTGCCAGAACCTTTGTGACATTGACCAAAGTTCTGTGGTTTACTGAACTTTGTGACACATCAAGACTTTGCAATAAAAATGTCTTTTGGATGGCTAAAACATTAAAACCCAAGGTGATTTTGCAAATAACTGCCTGCACATTTTCATTCAAATAATGTAAACTAAGAATGACATTTTCATTAGTGCCTCTTTCTCTTTTAGGAACTATGTGAAAAACAACATTTGTTTTATGAATCATCACCAAGAAGAATTAGTGCCAACACAGCTTCAAAAAGGAAAACTCCAAGAGCAGCTCTTAGGAGTGTAAAAAGCTGTATGGCTGGACATCCACGGCAGCCTTCCCCAGTCCTGGGAGCCTTGGAGTGCTGACACAGCTCAAGAACATGCAGCAGGAGGTCTTGATACTGGAACCTATGTGCCACTCATGTTTCCTCTTCTGTGGCATGGAGCTAGCTTTAGGGTCTTCCTGAAATTAGAAACACAACCTTAAATCCCCTCTTCACCAAAAGGTGGATGAAGTACAAGATTCTAAGTGATCTCTCTTATTCTGAGCACGAAATCAGGTAAAATATATACACATATATTGGCTGGTTCAATACTTTCTTTTTCACAGAGCAGCCTTGGTGAGATGAGGTCCTGGAGATATGATCAACCTTTGCCTTAAGCTATGTATGTATGGAAGCCAGTTGCCTATTTATTATTATTCAGACACAGTATGTGTGGACACGAGCTTAGTTTTTGCCTACTATAAGACACTCCTTGCACTGGGTCTTGTGTGACAAAAAACCAGGACACACAATGTGGAAAATTTAATTGCACATATACTCTAGATTAGGACAGGGTACTAGTGAGGGTCCTAGCGATAATATAGTTACAGTTCAGTGAGTACAGATTATATAGCTTATGAGTCATGAAGTATGCAAAATAATCTACTTTTATCAATTTCATGTAAATATTGTAAAATATTAGATGAAAGAATTCTGCAAGCTAAAAATCAGCATCTTTCCATTTTTTATGAACAGAAAGGACAATTTAAAAATCCTGGGACCATATTTATTTAGAAATAGCTGTTAATAAAATGGAGTCAGACTATTTATCCAAATGTCTAAGCAATTAGGTTTAAGTTATTAAATCAAGCCAATAAAACTTCTCTTTGTAAGATTGTCATGTTAACTTATAGCAATTTCTAGTTTCCTGGAATTCTTCAGTCTTCAGGAATAACCTCTACCTCAGGTTATGGCACACAGGCTATAGTTAATGCTTTCAGATGACTGAGGACATATCTTCATATTATTTTATGTGATGAAAGAGAGAGATGGCTGACTGTACCAGCAATTTTGGTTTTCACCTGTATGATGGACGGCTCTCATCTGCATTCCTCCAGCTGAATTGAGACATTTTACCAAAATTATTTGGATATGACAGAAAATACATAATAAAAAATTTTGAACATTTTGACTACTTGATCACCCATTAAATTACTAATTTATTACAAGGTATGAAAGACACACCAAAAACTTGAAAAAAAGAAAACCTAACTTGAAAGAGTTTTAAAAAATTCAATTAGCGTGAAGAAAAAAGAATCCCAAGAAAGAGGCAAAACCCTTTTATTTAGCTGTAATTTTCCTACTGGCTCCTGACAAATTGTCCCAATTTGACTACAAGAATACATGGCTACTATGTTCCTTATAACAGTGGAAAGATCGTAAATCTGTGTAAGCAATAGTTAAACTAATATCAGAGACTCAGGAGACTGACAATAAAAGCCCTGGCCCTAAAATGATTAAATTAACAGGGGCAGGCGCGCATGCGCGCGCGCGCGCACACACACACACACACACACACACGGAAAGGAGATCTGAGATCTGAATTCTATCGTAGTACATTCTGTATACAAGTTACAGTTTGTAAGATTTTGTTTTGGAAAGAAAAGGGAAAGTGTGTTCTGCAGAGGATCAATTTAGGAAGCTTAAAGTAATTTTTATCAGAAATGTTTTTTTTTTAAATCAAGACAAGAGATCAGTATCAAATTTTCTTTCTTTGCTAAGCATCACAAACTATATTTAACAAAAGAGTTCCATGTGTTCACTCTGAATTTCAAACACTATAGGTACATACCTTAGCTATTTCTTGGTTTAGCCATTTTTTGAAAATGGACATGAAATTATTATAAGCCTAGTTGGTTTCTTAGTAGTGACTTCAACCTCAGTATCTTAATCACTGTTTTTCTCTTATTATCCCCAGTCTGTAACTAAACAATTTAGTCTTCAAACTAATTTTCATCCGACACCCATCCCAACACCAAATCAAGCTTTTTGGTTTTCAAAAATAAAAAGGGGGGAATACTTATAATTTTCATATATATATTCACAGTTTTTATTTATATATTAAAAAATTGACAGTACTTGTGGAAAGCCAACAGAGGACATCAGCCTTGTGTAGTAGAGCACAAGAACACTCTGCCAGGTGGTGCTCTCGAGACCAGATCTGGTCAGCCTGGCCTCCCTCCCGTTTCAGATAAAGCACTTCAACGAGCTAGTGATCTGCTTAGGTTTCAAGTTGTTTGAATACTGAAAATACTACATCATCTGGATTCATATCTTGGCTCTATAATCATGCCCCTCCCCATTTCCCCATTCTATATTTCTTTTTCTGTGAACACTGCAAAATAGGAGGTCACTTACTATTGTTAAGACTAAGTGAAAATCCTAAATTTTTAAGTCTGCCTATAACACTTTAATTTTCTGTATCTGTGAGTTCAATTACCCAACTGGATCATAAAATAAAGTAAATAAACAAAATGTAAAAATAAAGAATAAAATTCTAAAAAAAAATCACAATTAAATCTTTCATAAGAAATAAAATATTATAGTTAGCCTTTACCCCTACTTTTGAAGAAGTGAGCAGTATAGAGGCAGGCATTTAAAAGGAAGATAAAAATAAGCATAAAATAATGTGTATTATTCAATGCAGTACTTAACCTAAGTTTTCAAGATTTTATGTGATAAGGAAAACTTACTATATATGGAGGTTAAAATGTTGCGATTTTTCATGAAGGTTTCAAAATATTCTGGTAATTTAGGTTCTAGTGGAAGATTGTTATTGGGATATTGTTCAGTTTCTACTGAGCAGTGAATCTGACTCTACTGAGCTTTATTTCTAGGTAAAATCCCTGCTGGTTACAGTAAACTCCTAGATGGAGGCAGTGAAATCCAACGGCAGCTTGACCCTGTATTACTGTCCAAGGGCTCACAGGCAAGCCTGGAAGACACTGCTTCATAAATGTATTTACTTTAACTTTTAAGAGTAGCAATCCCATATACTGAACAGCCATTTTCAGCTGCATTAAGACACAACAATGGAAAATATCTGGCAAAATGGCTTTCAAGTTCAAAGGTGAACCATATTATAATTATCCTGTGGCACAGAGGCAGCTTGTGGGCACTTGTTAAAAGAGCACAATGTTACCAACGTCTGACAAGGCTCTAAGATTAGCCTGGAGCACCAACCTAAGGTTTATGAGACAAGAACCTCAATCACTTTCATACAACTACAGTTGAGTCTTTCCAGAGTAACAAAGGTACAAATGGTGTACAACCCGTCACAGCTTCTTTCTCATAGCCATCTAGTAGGGAAGAGGTTTTTCATTTTAAAACTACAATCTCTTAAGAGTTATGTAACATTTTCTACCACTTTAAATTAACAACATAAAACATTATCTTTTGTCTATAAAGTTCTACTCCCATTCCCTAGAGTTTATATACATGTTTTTATTTCTAATCTGCAAGAAAAAAATTCTACTTGATATTTGGTAACAGAGCATTAAAAGATACTATACACATGTGGCATATACATACGTACACAAAATACACTTCAAAAAGAAGCCAACACACTTTAGCCAGTCTAAGCTTGCATAGATTAAAAAAAAATCATGAATACAATTTTTGTTTAGAAAATGGGGAATAAAAGTTATAGAATGGATATGAAGAGAGATCTTTTCCAAACTTTTATTTGTGCACATTCAATTGAAAAAGATAACTTTTACAGGTTCTTTGGTGCCCATATTCAGCATACAAAAATGTAAAAGACTATTCACAAATAAAACACATTAGCTCAAACTGGAAAAAAAAATAACAATAAAACAATTTTAAGGTAGTGCACACTGTGACAGCTCTGCTTATGGGGACATGAAAATTACTGCGAAAATAAATAGAATGTCCTTTTGTAAAAGCAGCAATGTCATGTCTTGTAAACTTCCTTTTTATATTACAGCAAGGTCTGAAATAACATCCAAAGGGACTGGAGCTTACACTGTAGCCATGAATGAATAAAAGAGTCTATTTCCTCAATTACTGTTGGTCCAGTTTTCCTTTTGCTTTGAGTCCAATGTGCAGCAGGTTTTAAAAGGTGCTCAGTTAGAGATTCATTAAGTGATGAATTATAAAATTTCTTTCCTGCTTTCAAACACAAATGGGTAAATCTGTTCCACAGCAGTAGCAACAGCCTTTACATTGGGTCCTGTAACAAACACAATGGAGGAAAGGGTGAGAAGAGTTAAAAAAGGGGACAAGTGACTACCAGAATTACCAATCATCAAGTAGTTCAGAGTTTTAAATTAGTTTAAAATATCTACACTTCCATAATCATACACAGAGTCGTAAGAACTGAGAGAATACAATTTTTTTTCTGGACAATTAAAGAAAATCCAAAACACAAAATTAAAAACCATACTTCAGGGGTGTACATTAGAATATTACTAATAGCCCCAAGCTGGCAAGTACTCAAAAGCTCATGGACAGTATATTCATGCACTGGCTACTAGACAATAACGAGAATGAAAGATCCACATACAACTATATAGAACGATATGGATGAATCTCATCATGATAATGATGAAGAAATGCACAAACTAGCATAGTGTATCTAAGGTTTACAAATAGTACAAAAGCAGGTAACACCAATCTGTAATGTTAAAAGTTGGGAGACTGGATTTCCCTGTAGGGGACAAATTAGACATTATTTCTATCTTGTCAGGTGCATCTTTTATATCATTCAGTCCAAAATTGACAAGTCTAAGTTTCAACATCACAAAATACCTGTTACTGTGATACTTCCTGTAGAAAAAATCTGTAATGTAGCTCTTAGAGACTTTATCCGATAGCACACAGCAGGATGAAGTTCAGGTTCATAACTGTATTTTAAAAAAAGCCATAATTAATATAAATACTAATAGCCTGACTAGTAATTTCAAGCTATCTTGATTCTTCAAAGACCTACCTGGCATGAGGTCTATTGTTCTTTGTGAATTCTGGCAAACGGATTTCAAATGGCATGTTACACACTGCCAGAACGTTAACAACCTTAAAATCTGTAAATATTACCTAAAGAGAGAAGTAAAACTCAATGAATTATTTTGAATTAAAAAATCTGTTCATCACATAATCTTTAATAGTTAAGTTTCCATCCTTAAAAAAAAAGCTCAAAAACTTCACTAAATAGTAAAATCTGAGATACTTGTATTATTAAAATAGAACATGTGGGGCCTTTTGAATCTTCAATTTCTTTTTCTTTAAGATTTACTTAGTTGAGAGGTAGAGCTACAGAGGGGGAGACAGCGAGAAAGGTTTTCCATATGCTGGTTCACTCCCCAAATGGCCACAACAGCTGGAGCTGGACCAATCCGAAGCCAGGAGCCAGGAACTTCTAGGTTTCTCATGTGGGTGCAGGGGCCCAAGCACTTGGGCCATCTTCTACTGCTTTCCCAGGCCATAGCAGAGAGCTGGATCAGAAGAGGAACAGCCAGGACATGAACCAGTGCCCATATGGGATGCTGATGCCACAGGCAGAGGCTTAGCCCACTATATCATAGTGCTAGCCTCTGTTTAATTTCTTAAGAATTCAAATAGAACATTTAATTAACACTACTGGGAATAGAAAGAGAATAGTGAAGGGGAAAAAAAATAAAGCAGGATCCTCTTTCTAAAACAGAGGTGAGGAACTTTTATTTGGCGAGGAGTCATTTGGTATTTCTAACATCAATCATGGTCCATACAAAATTATCAACTTAAAAAATCAGCCTGCTATATAGACAGACATACTGAATTCTGAATTCCACCTGTGGTTGCCTTGGCAGGGCCATACCAAATGATTCTGCACATCCCTGTTCTAGAGTCAAAAATTTCAACACTGTCACTTTAAAAGGTCAATAAATAGAGTATGCACTGAGCTCCAAAGGTCAGACATTTTTCTTACATGCAATGAGAGCAGTTCCTTGAGTTTAAGTTAGATGTTTACTTTGTCTCTGAAGACACAGTGTAGCTTCATTCCTGACTCCAGCTTCCTAGCGATACAGACCCTGGGAAGCAGTGATGAAGACAACAAATGGGGTTTGTGCCACCCACGCAGGTGTTCCCAACTCCCTGCTTTGGTCTCAGTCAGAGGCCATGGAAGACAACTGGGAGTCAATCAGTACATGGGCACATTCTCCCTCTCCAGTAAAGAAACAAATACACGGTGTTTTTAACTAACTGGGATTGCTCTCAAGATTTACAATGTTATGGTAAGAAATGTAACTCCAAGGTCGAAAATAATGTTCTCTTAGCAGGAACAACTTCAGCCCATCCTGTTACCAATCTTCAATTGCTTCACCTCATTATCTTTTCCAACATTCTTCCTAAAACTACACTTCTGGAGGATCTAACTATTCAACTCATTACTCGCATAAAGCAGTTGCAGAAAGGCACAAAACCGCAAAGCAGCCCACCATCAAACCACTGTTACCCTGCAAGGCTCGCTCTAGTGCCACTCAAACTCTAACATCGCTAGGGCCCACCAGCAGCCCACTCACTTCACAGGGACTAACTAAAGTCATCAGAAATTCAACTTTCCATCACAGTTTTTACAAACGTCTTCAAATCCCCAACAAGCCTGGCTCTCTTCTTCAGAGACCATTTCTCAACTTTACCTTTCACTTACTCATCATTTGCAGATGATCCTGCAAGACCATAATGTGCAATAGTTTTATTCAACATTATATCTCTTCAAAATTACATTTGATAAGGGTGACATGCCAATAAGAGTCACTTTGCATGTATGAGAGCCTACCACCCAGTGTGCCCTTGTCAATAGGCCCTGCAATTCTCATTATCCTGACCTACCATTCTTGAAATGATTTAGAAAATTTGTGTGTATGTGAGAGGTGAAAAAAAGAGTTAAAAAACCAATTTGTAAGGAAACAAGTCTCTTCATGGGAAAGGAATCTGGGTAAAATTCAGGATGTTTTATAAACATCTATATGGCCAACTTTTGCTACCACATTTTCACACTAAAGAATGCCATTAAAAAAAAACCTAGGAAACGTTCAATCATATGAACAATTCTGCAGTCATTTCCTTAATTTAAATAAATTAAACATTTTAATTTTACAAAAATATACCCTTGAATGCTTGCAGCTTGGATTTTTAAACATTTATTTTAAAATCACACATATTATCACTCAGGGGATATAGTGCAATATTTCAAAATTTGAACAGAATATACAATGATCAGACCAGGGTAAGCTGGCATATCAATAAACTCAGATACATATCATTTTTTTGTACTAGGAATACTCAAAATCTTCTCTATAAGCTTTTGGGACATATTCAATTAATTCTTGTCCACCATACTTTTCTGATTGTACTGTAAATATTAGAACTTATTCCTCTTGTCCAGTGGCACTCCTGTACCCATTAAGCATTCTCTCCACCCTTTCCATCTTTGGGTATTTTTTGAAAGTGTTACCTGAAAACCTAGTTTCTGCAGACTGCGGGCTAAACGTCTGGCACCAAATTTAGCTTCTTCTTCACTACGGTTTTAAGGGGGAAAAAAAAGCATACATTAGTTGGAAAATAAATTTTACACTGAGGAAAATAACAGATTTTCACATGATTTTGTTTTTAAGTCTAGGAAAACGTCCTTTCCATGAGGGGTAAATTAAAAAATTAAAATTAAAAACCCAAGTGACATTTACCTTGTTGCTCCAGTGCAAATAATTTTTCCTGAGGACCAAATTGTGGCTGTAATTCTAGGTTTTCTAAGCTTCATTAATACTTTCTGGAAAAAAAAAATCTGATTACTAGTAAGCATTAATTCTCATAGATGGTTCTGCTCTACGTGGTCAAGTTAATTACAAATATTATTCCAAGTTTATCTAAGATTGAAATAACTGTTCTCCAAATCACCCATTCAAAAATCAATTTTGAATACGAGGAACATTTTACTCCAAAATACGAGGACTATAGTAATCTCACTAAATTCCTGAAAGCAACATAATACAAGTATACCAACATTTCAACTCTTATCCCATTCTAGTCACATAACTGGAATCTACATGTATTCTCACAGGTGCCAACCTTGTTCACATCTCAGGAACTATGCAACAGCTGTTAATTTGATTTGAAATACTCTCCTCTCAACATTCTCACTTCATTCAGCTCTCACCAGGTGTCACACGGTAGGAGGGCCTTCCCCTGCCTAGTCTGAAACCCCCACCCTTTCACCACTCTCTGCTTCTAGGCTTGCTTTATTCTGCTTCATTCCCATCAAACCTTTACCCTGTATCTTCCAGTTCAACATGGCAATTCTGAGTGCAAGAAAATGTGGAAACTGGAAACACAGTTTCAGATTCCTTAGATATGAAAGTCTTTTAAAACTATTATTACCTACAGAATATAAACAGATTAAGAACTAAGCTCCAAGATAGTATATGAATTTAAATTTTCACTGCAACTTTGATCTATAAAATGTTTACTACACACACAAGAAAGAAAAATTTACTAGATAATATATAACACATGAATGAATCAGACACTTCTGCTTAAAACTTTTTGAGTTCCTCTGCCATGTGTCATATTTTCTTTTCTTTTCTTTTTTTTTTTTTTGACAGGCAGAGTGGACAGTGAGAGAGAGAGAGACAGAGAGAAAGGTCTTCCTCTCTCCATTGGTTCAACCCCCAATGGCCGCTGCGGCCAGCGCGCTGCAGCCGGCGCACTGCACTGATCCAAAGCCAGGAGCCAGGTACTTATCCTGGTCTCCCATGGGGTGCAGGGCCCAAGTACTTGGGCCATCCTCCACTGCACTCCCAGGCCACAGCAGAGAGCTGGACTGGAAGAGGAGCAACCGGGACAGAATCCGGTGCCCCGACCAGGACTAGAACCTGGTGTGCCGGCGCCGCAGGGGAAGGATTAGCCTATTGAGCCACGAGCTGGCCTCTTTTCTTCTTTAAAGATTTATTTATTTGAAAGGCAGAGTTACACAGAGAGGAGAGACAGAGAAAGAGATCTTCCACCTACTGGTTCACTCCCCAGATGGCCACAACAAATGGGCTTCGCCAGGCTGAAGCCAAGAGCCAGGAGCTTCTTCTGGGTCTCTCACATGGACCCAGCGGCCCAAGGACTTGGGCCAGCCTTTGCTGCTTTCCCAGGAGCATCAGAAAGGAGCTGGATCAGAAATGGAGCAGCCAGGACTTGAATGCCACCACTGCAGGCCATGGCCTGACGCACCACAGCGCCGGCCCTGGGTGTCATATTTTCAAATTAGAAAGTTCAAAGTTTACCAAAGATGAAGATGAAATTTGAACTAAAACAAAATTTCAAACACAAGTGACTGAGAAACACTGATCTGAATCTGTGGGCATTTAACTTTTTTTTTTTTTTTTTTTACCACTAACTTGTCCAGTGACTCAAAATTTTCAGCTACCATTCCCAGAAAAACTTCTGTTCTGTATGTTATTCTCAAGTACAAAAGCAGTGTTAGGCATTTTCATTTCAAAATATTTTAGCAGATATATTCATTCTCTTTTTTAAAGGAAAAATTATATTACTGATAAACTTCAAAATCTTTAATTTCGTGTCTCTGAAAACTGTAATCATGTTTAATTCATTTTTACTTAGTTTCTAATACTAATAACTAATGATCGCTAGGTATGCTGGTATTAATTTTTAGAGCTTAAATACAGCCTTCGTTTATCCTTAATGTTCATAATAAATGTATAAAATATAGATCACATCAATATTTGGCTTATAAGGTGTTTACAAAATTTTAAACACTCATTGTGATTTACATTGTTAATCTCAATTAATACTTATTAATACTAAAAATTTTAAATACTACAGGTTTAACAAAAGCTAAAATTCAGATTGTCTAGATTAAGATAAGAACCATATTATTTTCAGCAATTTAATTGAAAAACAAAGCCAACTGAGGCCAGTGTGGTGGTGGTACAGAGGGTTAAGTTGCCACTTGCAACACTGGCTTCCCATCTGGGGGTGCTGATTGAAGTCCTTGCTGCTCTACTTCAACCCAGCTCTCTGCTAGTACACCTTGGAAATCAGTGGAAGATGACCCAAGTGCATAGGCCTCACCCACCCACTTGGGAGACCCTGGCTCTGCCCTGGATCAGCCCTGACTGTGGTGGTCCTATGGAGAGTGAACCAGTGAATGGATGATTTTCTCTCCTTTCTGCATTTGCAGTAAATAAACCTTAAAGATAAATAAAAGAATAAATAAAAGATATTCATCTAAAAAAAGAGGACTATGACAACACACTACAACACTTTACAGAAATTACAACGTTTATGAGTATACATGAAAATACGAAGGTTTAAAGAAACTGAGAAAACAATAAAATGTCTCTGTAACCAATGAGTTTTTCACTAAGAATGGAAAAGGTTATCTCCCACCTTCATGAGAGGAGGGGTCTCCTTTACAGGGTTTACAACTGTATCAAGTACAACTAGAACATAGTTAGGTACTCACATACTATTTGAAGAATGAATACTTTCTAATAACATTCACAGCAGCATAAAAGGAGACATGTAGTACCCCTATTAAACTACAGATACTTACTCCAACATCACGCTTATAAATTACATTTGCTCCTTCCAAAGCAATCTTCCTTAAGTTCAAATGGCATCTTGTTCTAAAAACACAGACTACATTTGTAATTAAAATGTCCAATGCAACGTCACTGTCTGCATCCATTGGGGTAGTTTAAAAACTCAGCTTCCCACCACGCAGATCACATCCTGAGAAATACAACAAAATAAAGTCATTGAACTCCAATGCTCTGTTTATTTTTCAGAAATAATCCTGAGAGTAAAATTAAGAAATGAATTTATGTATTTTTAATGTTACTATAATCAAATCATTTCGCTCTTTTTCCCCACTAAAAATGACGTTTTAAAAGATAACGTGCCATAGAATACCATTTAAAATCTGAATCTAATTTTTATTCTTTAAATTTTTAAGTAACTTTTACATGCCAGGACTCTGCCAGACTTATCTCTGGCTACTTGCCTTTGTAACCACCAGGTTCCAGGTCAAACCACAGTTAAGGTGATTCCTCAACTCGCCATGTTTCAGGGATGGACTGTGCAGTTCCCAGTATCCAACCACTGCAACCTATCTCACACAGTGTGCTGGGGCTATGCAAATGTTGACCCACTTTTCTCTATTTCAGGTAAAGTAACTGACCCATTATGTTTAAAGAAACAGAAATAATATCTACAATATTTATTAACAGACTTTTTTATTTACTAGCCTTTCATTCATTACTCACTAAACACCTTCTAAATGCTACAGTTACCGGAGGAAAGAAATGATTAAGGGAAAGTCTTCTGTCCTCAAGGAGCTCACAAACGTGTAAGGAGGAAGCTCTATCAAACAGCACAAAACGATGTTATCAAAATCAGAATCCTCTCATATGTGTTTTTCAAGATTATCATGACAGGAACATTTATATAGACAAATAAGCAAGCTCTAGTTTTTACTAAGTATATGACCATTATTTAGCTTATTTAACTGTCTTCTCTCCTTGCAAATCAGCCAATAGTTAACAATATACTCTAGTCATCTTAAAGATCTTCTGGAGCCACATTATGAAAACCAGTATTCTATTATAAGGATTTTCAAATTAACATATGACTAAGAAAATGAAGATACCAAGAATCCAAAATGGGGGCTGGCGCTGTGGTGTAGCAGATAAGGCCACAGCCTGTAATGGGGCATCCCATATGGAAGCTGGTTTGAGACCTGGCTGCTCCACTTCCGATCCAGTTCTCTGCTGTGGCCTGGGAAAGCAGTAGAGGATGGCCCAAGTGCTTGGGCCCCTGCACCCACGTGGGAGACTCGGAGGAAGCTCCTGGCTCCTGGCTTTGGATCAGCATAGCTCTGGCCATGCAGCATTGGGGAGTGAACCAGCGGACGGAAGACCTCTCTCTCTCTGCCTTTCCTTCTCTCTGTGTGTAATTCTGCCTTTCAAATAAATAATCTTAAAAAAAAAAAAAAAAAAGAATCCAAAATGAAGAAAATTCCTTCTTTCTACTTTTTAGTTTCTTATACAAAGCAAGACAAAGCAGGGGAAGACTTCTAAAACTTCTATAGGACCAAATAACATTCAATTCTGTATACCAAATGGATGCCAATTTTATTATATTTTCTCATCTTCTATCCCCACATTCCCTTTAACTATGTATTATATTCCGTTCCTTGTCTGATTTCCATAAATCACTTTTATGTACCCCTGTGGGGCAGGGACAGCAGTTGGGATTAATGGACAGAGGCAGAGGCAATTACCACTGGTCATATGAGGCAGACACAATGCCTTACACATCACTAACTAGCTGTAAGAACTCAGCCAAATTATATCAGTGTTCTCACCTAAACATGAAACACACTCACCAGAGTGGTGTTGTAGGAATTACATAAAATAATGTTGAAATATACTTAGCACATATATCTGGTAAGTAAGAACTCAGCCAATGACAGTGGTTATCAACGAAGTTTAAATCAACAAGCAGATCAGATTTCTCGGCATCACTTCCCATGAGTATAATATAGCCCAGTTAGTGTACTACCTAGATACCACCAGGTTTTCTGCTATTTTCCTGTTAAGAAAAACTGGAATAACTGTAAGGTACTGCCTCCTGGTTGCTTTCTCCAATGTGTACTCTACCATTCCTTTACAGAAAAACTCAGATGCCTAGCCAGGTACACTGCGGCAGAAATAATACACTGCAGTTTTCAGGTTCCCTGGCAACTGGTACAGCCAAGTGGCCACATGACTATGTTCTGGACAAGGAAATATAAAACTAAATTGTTCTTCTCTGGGAAGTCTGCTTAAAGGACCAACTAAGCCAGCAAGAATTCCTTTGTCTTTCTGTTCTTCCTCACTGTTGCTACTTGGAGTTTAAATGAGAGCTGGAGCTCAAGTAGCCATTTGGGACCAAGAGACAATGACATAAGGATGACCAAACAGAAGTAGTCTGGGTCTCTGACTCTGTTAATATCTTTATTGGCCTTTTAACTGTAGACCTTCCATGTGTAACAGAAAAATCAATTCCCCTTCTGTTGGATTTTGGTCATATGCAGGCAAATCTAAACTGTCATACATCCTTTAGGGATAAACTACAAAAATCAATTATTGAAGAATAAACATTATATGAAGAAATAAATATTTATTTCAAAGTCAGAGTCGGAGTCAGAGTCAAAGTCAAAGTCAGGAGCCAAGAGCTTCATTTGCATCTCTCATGTGGATGGCAGGAGCCCAAGCACTTGGGCCATCTTCCACTGCTTTTCCCAGGCCATTAGCAGGAAGCTGGATTGGAAGCGGAGCAGCCAGAACACAAACTGGTGCCCATGTGGGATGCAGGTGGCACAGCTGGCAGCTTTCCTCGCTACACTGCAACACCAGTCCCAACTCTTTCTTTTAATTGTAAAACACTTGTTACCTGGGCTGAAACTTTACTTTGAAAGCTACTTCTTTTAGTAGGAATGTAAAACAGCTAACAGTCTTTTTCTTCCCTACAAATTCATAAAACACAATATCCATGAATATGTGTATGTGGCATATTTTGTTTAAAGGTGATTTATAATTTTTTTCTATTAGTTTGTATAGCACATCAAGAAGAAGGTATTATTTATTTATTTATTTTTATTTATTTGACACGTAGTTTATAGACAGAGAGACAGAGAGAAAGGTCTTCCTTCCATCGGTTCACTCTCCAAATGGCCGCAATGCCTGGAGCTATGCTGATCCAAAGCCAGGAGCCGGGAGTCTCTTTCTGGTCTCCCATGCGGGTGCAGGGGCCTAAGCAATTAGGCCATCCTTCACTGCTATCCCAGGCCACAGCAGAGAGCTGGATAGAAGAGGAGCAACCAGGACTAGAACCAGGGGTCCATATGGGATGCCAGCGCCACAGGCGGAGGATTAACCTAGTGCGCCATGGCGCCGGCCTCAAGAGGAATGTGTTTAAGAAACTTCACAAAAAATACAACATTTGAAAGTTAGATTTAAATTCACAAAGCTGTTAAGCCTACTAAGTACTACAAGATGAAATATGAAGACACACAAAACGACAGGACACTACAATAAACATTTAAATGTCTGCCATTCAGCTTAAAAAAACAAAATCCTACAATGCACTTCTTCCAAATCATACTTATTCCTCCCCTTCAGAGAAAATCTCTACTCTCAATTGGTATTTCATTACTCATATATTTCTCTTAAACTTTTTACATATATAATTCCTAATGCCAATTAAGGTGCCATTTAAAAAATGCATTGATGGATTTGATTTACTAATAATTCACTTAGGATTCATACATCTATATTCATTAAAAGAATTAGCCACACTACTCTTATAATGTCTTACCTGGTTTAAGTATCAAGGTTATACTAGAGACATTAGAATTAGCATAATTTTTTACCCTTTCTAATTCTTGGTAAGTTTTAAAACAACTGATATCTTTAAGAGTTCTAAGACAACCAATATGTTCCATTTCTGCTTGTGTCACTTCTGCTAAATGAAACTTTCCTAGGCAATTTTCCACTTCTTCTAAATTTTTAAGTTTATTAGGCAAATTATTCATGATTTCTTAATAGTGCATCTCTGCTGTAGCATCCTTCTGCTTTTCTAGCGCCACTTATTTCTGTACCCCCACCTCAATACCGCTGAAAAGATTTTTCTACTTCATTAAGTTTCTTCCAAGAACTATTAGCAGCTGATCATCTTTATTAAATTTTTGTCTATGTTCATAATTTTATTCTTTCCATAGGTTTATTCTACCCTGTTTCTAATTTCTTATATTGGAAAGTACTTAAGTGGAATGTCTAATATTTTAGTTAAAAAAAGTTAAAAACTTTTTTCTTATATGAATATTTAAGACTATTATAATCTAGCATGTTTAAGGTATGACTTAAGTTGTATATATATAATATCTTCCTAATATGTATTTATTCCTTCACTCTAGCAACATTTAAATGTCCATTATTACTTTTCTTGGGCTAGTTATTTATATAGAAGTTCTTTTCCCTTGTGTGTGTGTGTGTGTATGTACATATGTATAGATGCATGTTTTTATTATTTTATTATTTGAGGAAATGCTAATAAGAATGAGATCCACTTACACATATTGGCAAATATTAAACAGTGCTGATAAAGGTTTAATTAAATCAACATGCTCTTATAATTTGGTACAAAAATTTCCTACAGGAGATAATCTGGCAATGTGTATTCAAATAGTCACAAATGTGCATTCACATATGTAGAACTGTAGTTAACTGGTACGAATGCATTTTGAGACATAATTGAATTGAGCAAAATATAAACAAAATTACTCACTACAATTTTGTTAACAAGGACAACCTACATGTCCACCAAAAAGAGACTGGTTACATCAAGTACAGCATAGTTTTATAACAGACTATTAAATAAATTTTTTTTTTTTAATTTTTGACAGGCAGAGTGGACAGTGAGAGAGAGAGAGACAGAGAGAAAGGTCTTCCTTTGCCGTTGGTTCACCCTCCAATGGCTGCCACAGCTGGTGCGCTGCGGCCGGCGCACCGCGCTGATCCGATGGCAGGAGCCAGGTACTTATCCTGGCGTCCCATGGGGTGCAGTGGGCCATCCTCCACTGCCTTCCCTGGCCACAGCAGAGAGCTGGCCTGGAAGAGGAGCAACCGGGACAGAATCCAGCGCCCCGACCGGGACTAGAACCCGGTGTGCTGGCGCCGCAAGGCGGAGGA